CCAGCCAGAGTAAAGGCCTGGGTCCCGGGTGCCTGAGGAAAACTGGTGCCAGCAGCCAAGGGAAGGGAAGGCCTATTGCACGAATCTCTTCGTGCAACAGGCCTCTAGTTATTAATAAAGCTGACTTCACAGAGCAGAATGTGACTGAACACTTGCACATTCTTGGTAATGCTTTTATTCTTGCTTGGGCTCACCTAAAGTTTTTAACCACATTTTAGAAGCAAGCTTTTGGATCTGTGTCATAAGTGAGTATTTGTTTCTTTGCAGATTCATTGAGTGCATTTTAATTATCCTCTTTTAAAACTTGGATGTTTTCTTATTTTTCAGCAAAAAGTTTTATGTCATTAGTTCTGTGTACCTCAGACTTTATGCTTTAGTCAGTATGCTTCTATAACTTCCATGCATTTCATAAAAGCTCGCTTAAAATTATAGTCATAGTGTTTCAGGGCTTTATGTTGTGTAATTTGATACTCTTTCATTATAATGCCAAAATGTTTCAAAATCATGGGGCTTTTTAAAGAAAATTATTATGGGAAAGACATTCTTGAAATGCTGTACATTTGAGCTGAATATTTGAATACTTTTTTGTTACATTTTAATTTATACTATTCTAAGTTTTTTGATTTTTCCATACTAATTATATTAGAAATATCTTTGTATAATTAAATATAAGCAGGTGTGTTTTTTTTTCTTTAAATGAGTCATTAGAAAATGATTAGGTTCAAAATGAATTCCATTTGCCCCTCGGTATCCACAGAAGATTGGTTCCAGGCCCCTCGCAGTATCAAAACGTGAGCAGATGTTCAAGTCTCTTACGTAGAATGGCACAGTATTTGCCTGTAACCTACACACATCCTCCCGTATATTTAAACCATCTCTAGACTACTTGTAATACCTAATGCAGTGTAAATGCTATATAAATAGTTGTTATATGGTATTGTTTAGGGCAGTGGTTCTCAACCTTGGCTGCACATTAGAATCACCTGGGAATCCTTTTAAAATCCTGATTTCTGGGCCTCATCCTCTGGAAATTCTGTTTCTTTGTTACTAATGTTGTGGCCCCACCCCATAACAAAGAAACAGAATTTCCGGAGGATGAGGCCCAGAAATCAGGATTTTAAAAAGATTCCCAGGTGATTCTAATGTGCAGCCAAGGTTGAGAACCACTGGTTTAGGGAATAATGACAAGAAAACAGCCTGTACGTGTTCAGTACAGATGCACCATCACAGGCCTGACCACCTAGCTCATGTCAGCAACAACATAACCCTTTTTCTGAATATTTATGACCAGCAGTTGGTTGAATCCGCAGACGTGGAACCGCGGATGTGGAGAGTTGGCTGTATTTTAATAAGTTACTCTTTCTAGGTGGGTTTGATTTCAGTTTGCTGTTCTGTGCTCCTCCTACTTTCCATCATCCTTTGAGCAGTGTTGTTATTGAACCCTGCAGAGCAAAGTGGGATAAACTAGATTTGTTTTTCTCACATAAAGAATATAAAGAAGTTGGTGTCTCAATTAAGCCCTAGTTAGTTTATTTTACATATTTAAGGAGTATTTTATAGAGAGGCTTTCCATCACGGTGAGTTTCAGATGCTTCGAAACATCTACTTGAAAACTCTCTTTTCAAACAGTACATTTCAACTGATATGTCTCCCTTTTTTTTGAAGTTTAATATGACTGCAGCAGGCTTCTTTCATAGTTCCTGGCTCTAAACCCCATAGTAGCTGTACTTCCACCAAAACCAGAGGAGATACACTAGATCAACTCATTTTGCTAAAATTTCCAGCTCTAAAGAGAAAAACATTACACTTGAAAATGGAAGTCCTGATGCACATGAAAATATACTGTAATGAGTAACAGAAATCCTGGGAAGAGTGGAGCAGGCCTGAGCAAACAGTCCATTCTCACCGCATGAACTACTCGGGACTAACTCCCACCCCAGATCAGTGCAGAACGTCATGATGGAACTCAGAAGGACAAAGACACACCCTTGATCCTTGGCCCCAGCGCATACATACGTAGTAAGACAGGTGAGACATTTCAGAGAAAAAGTCATCTGCAAACCCAGAGAGCCCTTCCTGCCGCAGCGACTGTGGCTGGGAAACGGCCGTCCTTGCGTGCCCTCCCCGCGTAGCCTTGTCGGCAGCCTTTTCAGTTTGCGTCAGAAGAGATTCCAACCCAACACGAGGATTCTGGTTGGAGTTATTTGAAAATCAAGTTTCTGAAGAAAAAATAAATTATGTTTCATCTAAAGGTGAAC